TATATCAATTAAATCGATTTTTCTATTTATTCCCTTTCCCTTCCATAAATCACATATACAAATAAATAAATAAATAAAAAAATTTCTATTTATTCCCCTTCCCTTCCCTTCCCTTCCTTTCTCTAAATCACATATATAAATAAATAAATAAAAAATAATAAAAAATATCGTCACTATCGTTTCCTTTCCTTTACTTTACTTCCCCGTTACCTTTTTACTTCTATAATTTAATTTTTCATCAATTACAAAACCCAAAAAAATGATCCAAGAGATAAGAATCAAGATGAAAGAGGGCAAGAAGGCAAGAAGGTAGAATCAATCGAATATAATACCTGTTACAATATTAGCAGGTGTCTCGTTCTCGTTTTCATTCTCGTTCTCGTTCTCGTTCGGACAAGATTCGAAAACGGAATCATCCCCCTCTTCGTCGGGACAATCTTCGATCGTTCTTTCGATATAAGCCAAGCCATCGTAAAGATTTGATTTAACAACAACGTTTATTGTTTTAACGGAAGCTATAGCCGTTTCTACGGCATCGAATTCACCCCCACCATCATCATCATCACCACCACCACCACCACCACCACCCTCCTCCCCTTTAACATCGTCAGTACCAATACAACCCTTCTTCGTCGTTTCTTTTTCGTCTTCCCCTTCCACCCCCTTGCCTTGACCTTTCTCTTCCTCCTCCTCCTCCTCCTCACCCCCATTATTTTCTTTTCCCTCACCCACCCCCTCTTCTTTTTCTTCTTCTTTTTCCTTTTGAATATTTTCTTTATTATCTACCATTGTTAATTTTTCCATATTAATTAAATGATTTTCTAATAACACACACGACGAAGATGATATTTTGTTATTTATCTCGCATCTCTGATTAATTTCACCGTTAACAGTTTTATCTTTATTTTCATCTATCATCATATTCTTCTCTTCGTCATCTTTATTAATCGATGAATCGACGTCGGTCAATTTATTTCCCAATAATTTGTTGTTGCTGCTACTGCTTGCCATTTCATTGGTAACAAGCTTTTCCTTCCTCGAACTCTTGTTGCATACGCAGCATTTAAACATCCTCGATACAAACTAATACTTCTTTATCTATTTTTTTTTTGTTTTCTGTATTAGTTTTATTATTATTATTATTATTATTATTTAATTTGTTCGATAAATTGAAACGAACTGAAATATGTATTATAATATTATTTTGTTAAGATTAAAACAAAAAAGATAAGAATTTTGTATTTTTTTTTTTTTGTTTAGTTTTAATAATAACACACGATTTTATTAGATATTATTATAATATAACTCGTTTATTTGATTATATTGTTTATAGATTGTTCTATTCGTTAGATCAATTTTATAAGATTTGCTTTTTCGTGGATAAACACTTTTTGTCACTTTATTGTTTTTTTAGTGTCGCTATTTAAGATCGTTAATAAAAATTGATGAAACGTTTATTTACGTATATATCACCTCCTAAATTTAACTTTCGTCAAACGATTATCGATAACACAGAGACGCACACACACACACACACACACACATATATACAATATAGTCTATCTTTGAATTCTTATAATTATCATCAACCTTTAAATCTCATCAAAGAAATTTTTCTTCTTCTTCTTGTAAATAAAAAAAAATGTTTTCGTAAATAATTAATTAAATAATTAAAATGTTGAATCTCTTTTAATCTTACCGATTATGCTGAAAAAAAAAAAACCAATTATTTATATATTCATGTAAATATTTTCCATGAAGAAAATAATCTTACGTTTAATAAAATTCTCATAAAATATGATTATTTGAAATTTTCTACGTTTAAATCTACAAATATATATATATACGGTAGCTTCTTCCATCAAAGTTCCTTTTATCCTAACAAAAAAGAAAAAGAAAAAGATAGAAGATATTTTTATTCTTCAAATATATACTCGCGGAACGTTTCCCCTTCGTAAACGTTATTTGGATTTCTCGTGAAACCCATGAAAGCATACAACCATCATAATATGATTTCACGTCGACTAACATGAGAATTACTTAAACGTTTGAACTAACTATAATAATATTAATAATATCTTTGATTATTCAAGATACTATATACTTAGAAAATTCATCGTTCCTGAGTATATAGAAATTAAACAAATTTCATTGAAATCTATCATTAGCTTTCTCAAAAACAAAAAATTAATTCAAAATACTGCGTATTCATTTTTAATATTATAATTATTTTCATATGACGCGAAACACGATAAAAGAAAATATAATTATATATATATATATATTTATTTTTTTTTTTTTTTAGACACATCGATACGTTCCTTTCATTCGTTTGTTCATTCGTTCGATTGATTAAGCACCAAAAAAAAAAAAGAAATAGGATACAAAAACAATATATAAAAAACATGCACAAATGAAATTAAATGAAAAATAAATTATATATTTATCGCGACATTGCATACACTCTTTTTCCCGGGGAAAATTAAAATCGATTTAACAACACACACACACACACTCACACACACATACACAAACAAACAAACAAACGTTCAGGCACAAAACACGCTATTTAGATTAATTTTTCCTCTTCTCCCGTTATCGTGAAGTTCAGTTGCTGTAACCCGTTCCTTTCTTTTTTAATTTGTTTATTTTTTGCCTCGAAAACGAATAAAGAAACAAAGACGGGGGGTGGAACGAAAAAAAAAAAAAAAAGAAACTACACATCCGACGCGTTTGGTAAAGTAAACTTCTGGTAATTTCGTTAGAAATATAAATACACTGCCCCCTCTTCGTCTCGTCGTACCGTTTGAAATAAATTTAATTATAGAATGTAACACGACACATGTTATTAAATAATTACAAATAAATATAACATTATATTATGTCTCTAAAAAAAAAAACTTTCGCTGTGAATAATTAGGTTAAATTATAACGCAATAGTTAATCAACCCTCGAAATAAAATGAACGTTAAATATTTCAATATTACAATACGTAAAATTCTATTTTTACTATTATCATAAACACTAAAGAACAATTTGTCTAATAATACAATTAATTATATTAACTAAAAAGAATAATAACAACAACAATAAGGAGATACAAATTCTAATCTAAATACTTGATTAAAAAAAAACAAAACTATTATTATAATTATTATTATTAATGAAAATCTAAATTCACAATTGAATTAACATAAAATCGATCGAGGGTTGATTTCTTTTTGTGTATTATTTGTCTTAAATTATTCTTCCCTCTCTCTCTCTCTCTCTCTCTCTCTCTCTTTTTTACTTAAATAATTAATAAATTATTACGAAATTGATATTGATTAAAATATATTAATTAAATAATAAATTCAATGTGAACAAAAATATAATATATTAGGATATGTTAAAGAGAAAATTTTATGACGAAGTTTAGATAGAAATCTAAATTGTGCACGAAGTCTAGCGAACAACTGGTCCACATCTGTAAAACGAGGTCCACCCTAGAAGATGAAGCCTGGGTGGATGTTGCGTCTGCGTCAATGGGTTCGTTCAATCGCAAGAGAGATAAAATACACACACCCCCAACGTTCACCTATCACGAATGTGTTTTCTCTCTCTCTCTCTCTCCCCTTCCCCCTTCTCCCACTCCTTTTCTTTCTTTCTATCTATTTTTTACCTTTTTTTTCTCTCTAATCTCACGATCAGTCTCATCGTTTCCTTATTTTCTCTCTTTCGCACTTTTCAACCCCCTCCCCTTCACGTAAATAATAAATTATTCTCAAACGAAACACACAAAGAAACGTCACGTTGTTTTTCTTTCCCCCCTCTCTATTATCGTGCTTTCCTTTTTACAGAAGAGGAAAATAATAAATATCTGTTTCTCCTGTTGGATAATTTAAAAAAAAAATATATATATATATATATATATATATAAATAGAAAGAAAGTAATTAATAATTAATAATTAGCATCGACACCGTCTCGATAATGTAAACAAATACAAATTATTTAATATAATAGAGAAATAAAAATTGATATATAACGAAATGATGAGTTTAATTAATGTTTTTCATACAATTAGAAAATATAAAAAAGGAAGAAAAATAATTTTTTTAAATAATAGAACGATATATTATTATATAACTGTACTTTCTTTGAGATAGAAAAAAAATATGCTAACGAATTAGAAACATTTATGTGGGTGTACACACACACAAACACATAAATATATATATATATTTTTCTTTCTTCTTCCTCTTTTTATCGACTTGATATTTTTATCAAACTTTTGAATATTTTCTTTAAAGAAAGAAAAAAAGAAAAAAAGAAAAATACAAAATATGAACTTTACTTTTCAAAGTTTAACAAAAATACGAGTATATATATATATATATGTGTGTATTATATTTTTCTCTTGTAAAGGAAAGAAAAATAGAAGTTATAGTAAAAAGTCTATAACATGATATTATTTTCTTTGATGTAGTAGCCTGTTTTCTCGCGAAACGCATTTACCCATCTTGAAAGAGAGAGAGAGAGAGAAATAACGAAGATGAAACGAAGAAACGATGGGAAAGGCTACTATCTCTCTAAACGATTCTTTTTAACCGACGACCTGCTGCAACATACACCAAGAGTAGGAAGGAGACCTTATAAGGCTCGATTCTCGAACTCGTGTAAAAAAAAAAAAATAATAAAAAGGATTATCTGTAAAATTTCAAGACCAATCTCGAGATATCTGTACTGTTTATCGATAATTTGTTCTCTATCGTGAGAAAAATAAAAAAAACAAACAATCCTAACGAAGAAATATATTTTATCTATCGTAAATTTTTTTTTTTATCTATAAAAGTAATTATAACAATGGCATTTCGATTATTTATCTATCTTATTTTATTTGCATTTGAAAAGAAAAGAAAAAAAAAACAACGGGTAGAACATTTTTTTGCTTTTTCTTTTGTTTTTTTTTTTTCTTTCAAATAAAAAAACGTTAATTCGTTTAAATTCGGTCGTGCTTATAAGTAAGAATAATTACGAGATCGAGACAATTAACGTTAAACCGCAACAATTTGGCGTTAATTAATTGCATCATATTTGATCGTTAAACACCATTGTACGAGATAATTATTGTATTAACTATATGTGAGACGAGAATTAGAAATTACATATATACGCTAAATAATAATAAAATACAAAATTCGAATATTAAATGAAAAAGATTTCAGATCGTTACGGCTTACCAAATGTTACGGGTAGTTTTAATGAGATTTCACCACCCACGAAGATGATGATCGCTCGATGTAATTGTGTAGGTAAGTAGATAACTAGCTAGATAGCAAGCAAGGAAACAAGGAAGCAACCAAACGTTAGCCACAAATGCCAAATAGATAGTTAGCTCCTTGAATTTCCTTGTTACAAGATCCCTTATCTCGTATTTTGATATTATTCCCACTAGGGTGTCAAAATGTTGTATGCGTTTGATGTTTAAAAAGAAAACATCCCTCTTTTCTTCCAATTGATGATGGGGGATGCTACGCCTTATTTCCTTCCGTGTATATTCTTCTTTTTTTCTTTTTACACTACCCTTCTTTTCTCAACACACAAACACATTAACTATATATATATATATATATATATACTTAATTTTTTACGTTCCTACAACGTCGAATGTGTTAAACCGAATCGTTTGAAAGAATTAAAAGAAAAACTTTAGAATAAAAAAAAGTCGGAATAAATTGTTTTAGTGAAAATTAATATATATATATATTAAACCGTAGGATTCCACCCTTAAGGGGGGCGTAGCTCACTAGCAGCTAACCACGAAAAATCTGTCAAAGAACTTACGAGATGAACGGCCGGCGCAATACTGAACCTCCTCATTCCGAGTTTCGACCGGTTAGCTGCGGTGCTGCCACCTGGTGGCCGAGACCCGAAATTCTGGAATAGAGGAACATGGACCACCACGTGGCACACAGCCACCCGCACGTATGTAACTATTACATTGGTATACGTGTGTCTGTGCACGCATGGAAAAAGGGTAGAGAGGGATGAAAAGGGTGGAAGGGGAAAACTCGGAAATGCAATTTCTCTACATCGTCTGACGGATCCTCCCGGAAATCCGAAAACGTTTCAACTTTTGACCCTCTCGATTGTCTCTTCTTTTTTTTTCGATAACGGGTTATTGATTATTCGTTTTTTGGATTTTTTTTTTTTGAAAAATACATTTTTATTCGTATTTTTTTTCTTTTTAAGAATTTTTCATTTAATATATTAGTACGTAATTATCACATGTGGTAAGTATTAAGACAAATTTTATTTTATAAATAGGTAATAAGAGATCATGGTTCTGATTTTTTGGTTTTCTTTTTCCGGCAAAGTGTGAAATTAACGCAATCCCCTGATGCAACCCTCCCTTATCCCTTGTACGTCTATTTGGTATTTATAACGAACAATATATTTATTTATGTATTGATCATTTGTTTGACGAAAAATATTGGACAAATAAATAAAAATATTTTCTATATGTGAGTGTGTGTGTTTGTAATATATTATTTAAACGAAATTCTTGATACTTTATCAAAGATACAGACCACCGATACTGCATTGGATTACATAATCTTGCTAGGCCTTCTTTTCCTATTCTAAAAGATGTTGCTATAAATTCGAAACTTCGAAAGAGTTATTGTTAACTTTACGTGGTACTTTATACCGTATCGAATCGTTATATATATAGTTATATATACATAGTAAATAAATTCCAAATAAAATACCGATGTCTTCATTGAAATACTAAACGAGTATAAGAAAACCCGCAAAGAAATCAACCTTAACCGCATTTCACGATTTATTCGAGATCGCGATTATTCTTTCGATCTGTACGCATTAAAAAAATACATTTTGCACGTTAATCTCTTTCTTCAAACGTAAATATAATTAAATCGATTGAAAACAAAAACAAAAAAAAAAGTAAAGGAAACTTATTCAAATATTTTTCTTCTATTTAACTAATAATAAAAAGAATAAAATTAAAATATTAATCTGAATTATTGTCAATCCATATTGCAAAATTTTAAAAATAGAAGAAGAAGAAGAATAAAAGGGGAAAAAAGAAAAACAAACTTAATTTTCTAAACGCAATAAAAGTTATCCTTATATATGTGTACAAAATGAAATCCAATTAAGGAGATGTGTCGCTTAAAGTAATTTGAATTAATTTGAATTAATTTGACTTGGAAATGTTTTTTTTTTTCCTTTCCTATAAAGAGGAGTAGATGATGTATTTTTAACCAATGTAAAATAAGTTGCTAGTACGCACGTAAAGGAGAGACACTACTATTTTAATGGTATACGTAAAAAAAAAATTAGGTATATAAATTCTAAAAGAGTACTACATATATATATGTAGCGGATTGTGAAAGAAATAAGAAATGAGAATAAATATACCATGTTATTATACCTCGGAGAAAAGAAAAATACACATAGAAAGAGATAGAAAAACAAAATGAAGATATACGATTGATAAAACATTATTTCGCGTAGAAAAATACATTGTGAATGAAATATAATAATAAAACGTTGCACTCTAACGGTGATTGAAAAAAAAGAAAAAAATCTTTAATAAAAATTATGAACTCCTAGATGATAATATTATCGAAATTTATAATATTAATTCGAATGAATTTTCTACAATGATTATACTGGCAATGAGAATAACTACGTTTTAACGAAACAATATAATGTACGAGATGAGATTACGATTGCAAGTCAAATCGATAACGATATCCGTACGATAGGAGTATAGGTTTAGATAATTTGATAATAAACGTATATATATATTATATTTAAATAACGTATATAAACGTATATACGATTAATATGTTAAAATACGTAGAAAATGTACTTTATTCAAAGTGGTTTTTAATTATAAACATAATTAAATAAATGAAGATTCATTCTTGTTATTATTCATATTCGCTAGACAGATTTGTCTCTGAATACTGAAACAATACTGTATTCATTACACGCATTCATCATTGTTAATAATAACGTCACGTAATTCAATAATGCGATTCGCTAATCGCATAAGAATTTAAAACGAGTAAACAATAAGAAAGAAACAAATTAAAATATAATATATGTAATTTACGTGCACGTATTAAAATAGTAGACAAATTTGGTTGATAAATGATCTAGATAATTGTTAAAAATGTTATCAATGCTAAAAGGAAAATCTTGGAACAAGTTTAATATTACAATCATTTGTCTCACACTAACTATTATTCCACAGGACAGGTTTGAATCAAGTAACGATTCGAAAAGGTCGTTTGTTACCAGATCACCGTTTATCCGAATCAACGTGACACACATCCGGAATCCCGCTACTTTTTAACTCGCATCAGCTACTTTACAGTTAGAATTATTTTTCGTATAAAGAAATATAAATAAAATAAAAAAAAAATTAAAAACTCTCGTAACAAATGATTAAACGTAAAAGATTGTAACGAAAACGTGTAAATTAGAGGATTAAAAGTTTTTTCTTGTTTCTTTTTTTTTTTTGTTCAAAATCATACTATAATTGCTATTAATAATTCAAACGGTTGGTCAATTAAGTTAGCTCGTTTGTTCCGCCAAAACTATTTGTCTTTTTCTTTTCTTTTATAATTGGACATACATACACACACACATATATATACATTTATACATGATACGTGTTGTTATAATGATAAAACGCTTATTATGCGATCAATTGCAATAGTAAAAAAAAAAAAAATAAAAAAAAGAAGAAAGAATCCGGAAATCCGGCACTCACGATTCTGCCACATATTTAATATGCTCTTGTAAGTTTCCGGTACCATCCGAGATTCATTATTCTTCTGCTTGGGTTCTTTAATATGCGGCATTTTATTAATTTTTCTGTCCACGTTAGATAACACTAATCACAGCAAAATGAGAGATCAAATTATATAGGTATCACAGAAAAATGTTAAACAACAATGACATATAGGAAAAAAATAAATCGACGATAATTGATAATATTATAAAGAAAAAACGAGAATTTAAAAGGAATGATAATGATATCACGAGGATAACCATGCGTGACTAATGAAGGATGTTAAGCGACTGACTTCGTCAGTTTTCACGATTGAATTCTAATCTCACCTTCTGAATCTCAGGGCCGTAACGCTTTAAGAGGAACAACAGTGTCTTAAGATAAGAAAAGTGCCCCTCCCCTCCCCTCCCACCCTCCCACCACAACCTTAACTATATTCCCCAATGATTAGATTTCGATAAACTTTATATCTTTTCTTTCCTTTCTTTTCTTTTTCTTTTGATTAATATTATTCATTCGTTTAAGATATATGAATTTTTACAGATATGATATATTTTAAAATAGAAATTATATTATTTTATCGGAATATTTGAAAAAATAAAAAAGAAAAATAATGTGACGATTAAGTGGGTAATCAATTTTTGTAGGTGTATGCAAGAACTTGATATGTAACAAAAGTTAATACTTTCGGTGATACGTTGGCTTTTCAAAATTTTTAATGAATAATGTTTCGAGATTTGTTTTGTTCTTTTTCAATAAATTAAATTATACGAACGTGTTTTAGAAAATTTCTCATAAAATATATATGTGAGTTGGATTTTGGGCTCCTCTTTTTTGTTTTTTTTTTTTAATTCAAACTCACATTTATTTTTCGATGTAATCTAAAAACTTTTTGCAACCCACCACCGTGTTTGTATTATTATTAAATTAAAAATAATAATTATTAAAAAAATGAAAGAGATAAACTCTATTCTTTTTTTACATTTGATTGTTTTCTAATGAAATATATCAAGTTTTTGGATAAACCTATTAGCCTAGACAATCGTAATTATTATTCAAATAGGAATATCATTCACGTAGATACTATAAAAGCAATAGATACTATATAGGATGATGTTGTTTTTACGAGACACCGAGTAGACAGCAATGAACTCTAACGGCATTCGCGAGCTTCATTAAAAATCCTCATAAAACTAGTGGAAGAGAAATTTACGATGGGATACAATCTTCTTGAATAGATACCAAGCATTAATGTGCGAAATGTGTAATTGGGTGGATTAATGTAGTTGCAAATAATTTACTTGATGAATGAATATGATCATATAAATAACATTTACGAAAGAATTTCACAAATGTAATTGATTATATTCACATAAGTGAAAATTCAGTTGCGATTCAGTTATATTTTTAATAATAATGAATTTGACTAAAAAAAAAAAAAATGTTCTTTCTATATTAGATTTCAAAACTTTTTAACTCTTATCCATGTATAAATACATATTTATACATTAATATATTATTATAATTAATATACTACGAAGAAATCGAAAACAACTACGAAACTTCGAAATAAATTAAAAATCCAAAATTCAACTAATTAATTCAACACACAAGGCAATTAAAAGAAGCTAATAAAAACATGGCAAATAAAAAATTAAAAATAATAGCATGCACTTCGCTAGATATAACAATTTCCTATTACAATTCTCGATTGGAATAATAATTACAACGAGAGATATCATCTAGTATTTTAATTTGAACGGAGTACATTTTCGCGCGCATATGTTGCACACGCGCGCACGCACGAGCGCATCGCACTCATACATAGATAAATATGCATCCGGGAGGACTTGTAATTAACGAAATTATTCGATCGAATGTTAAATATATTTAAATAAATACATATTTTTTTTGTTAGTAATTGGTAGAGTCAAGTAATTTTTAACTATATAATAAAAACACTTGTGTCAAGACAAATTAACATTATTTTTATATTCCTACCCTTATATTCGTTATCTCAATAAAATAAAATTAATAAAAAAGTACAGAAAAAATAAAAGATCCGTAAATTATAATTTCATCCTAAATTATCGGATAAATAAATAACTAGTTTTAAAAATAATCGATTCTCTTGTAATAAAAATTAATATAACCAACCTAACCGACAGTTGTCATTTTGGTTGGGTCGTGAAGTCTGTCACAAACATGGCGATATGTTTTAAAGGAAGACCTACCTAAAAGAGAGTTTACACTGTGCGTCGATGAACCGGACGATCTACTAAACTAACAATAAACTAAACCAATGGTTTGCCATTTACAACAAACGAACGAATGGACGAGAAGACAATTTGAAAACTCTCTTGTACCAGAATACACATACATACATAGATATATACATACACACATATATACATGTATACTTGGGGATGATTCAAAGTAGATAAATCAGAAATGAGAGACAAGAAAGCGTCGAAGAAAGATGAGTCCTCGTTTGTTTGAGAAAGCAACATACCAATCGAATCACCGTATAGTAAGTAAGCGTGTGTCAATAAATCAGAAAATAAAATATATCCAATACCAGCTGTGTCGAAGTGACAGGTGCGATCGGTGGTGACTCACGCGCTTTAAACGAATATATGTGTTCGAGAAAGTAAGAAGGGGAAGAAAGACAAAGAGTGGGGGGAAATACGGCAAGATTGGTCGGGGGTGAGAGGGACGCAACGAATAAACACACGAGCGTTCTCTAACCCCTTTTTCTTCCGGATATTCAATGAAGCCCACGTAAGGACGTTGCTCGTTCCCTTTCGCGCGTATTTTTGGCACAACGAATAAGAAGATACATACAACAGATAATAAGGAAAAAAGGAAAACGGGTAGGAGAAAAGATTCATGTAAATAGACAGCAGACAGACAGACACATACATACATAGATATATACACACACACATACGTACATATATATCATAGATATATTATATATCATACATGCACAAACAGATAGACGGCAAGTAGCTAGCTACAATTGTATTACGATTATACTTTTGTATATTATATTATTTTCGTATATTATATTATGTTATAATTAAAAATATACTTACGTTTCCTTTTTTTTCTTTTTTTTTTGTCTATCTTTTCCTTTTTCTTACTCGTTCAGTATATAATTCGCCTAGAAACAGGCACCACCGTTTACGCGATCGAACTAACGATAAAAGATATTTTGACAATGACGCAAACGCGGCGTTTACCGGTATAAGTAAAAAAAAGCCTCCAGATGGACGACACTCTAGATAGACTCGGGGCGTTTGCCGGATACCGGAAGTACTAGTTTTCTCATTGCACTGCGCCGAGCCGGCATTTGGAAATGTCAGTCGTACGCACATGCGCCTTTATTATAACGCGTCCTGGATATAAAAGAGACCAAAGATTTTTAATTCAACCCGACTATTTACCACCAATCACAACGCTTCGATTATTCCTTTTTTTTTTTCTTTTAACCTTTTTATCTATTTTAAGAAAGTTGACCCCTTGTTCAATCAAACGCGTTTAACCTTAAAATTTCTTAACGATTTCTAATTCTATAAAACGATTGTTCGAAAGTTCAATTTAATGGTGTGTTAATATTTATTGAAAATATTTTTTTTTTTACATGAGATTTAATAATTTAAAAAACCGCCTTCTCTTTATTTTAAAAAAAATCCTACTTTTTATCAATAGTCATTAAAGGATTAAGTAATGTACGTGACTGGGATTGGTCGATGATAATAGGACTTCAATGATTGGTTGATCAAATCGAAGGCCGCTTTTATGATAGTATACAGGAATTTTATATAGATTACTAATTTCTAGTGCAATACTAATATAGTTCACTGTTATCATTCTGAGTGAATCCTGTACAAAAACAAAAAGATTAATTTAAAAGCAATACTTTATATAAAAGTCTTGATTATGGTTTTTTCTGTTGTGTACTTGACCGCCACCTATCTGTACAATTTTTATTGAAGAATATACTGGGTAATATAGACTATTTTATACGGTACGATTTTTTTTAAATAAAACATTTATGTATATATATATAGATATTCAAAATAATCTACAATATAAATATAAATATACATATGCATTAATTATATAATCAATTCATTATTAAATACGAAAAGTATAGTACTGTTTTATTTTCTATTGCGATATAGGCGTTCAATAGATTTCAATCATCAAATAAGAAAGCACAAAAAATAATATATAATATAAAAAGTTTAAATTATAACATCTATAAAAATGAGTTCCAAATTTCTATTTATAGAATCCATGGAGATTCTTAGTACTATACCACAATATTACTCTTTGTTAAAAATATTTACAGTACTTTTATTCTTATGGTTCATTGTCAAAAAATTATACCATAGAGAAAATATAACAGAAGATGAATTGAACAAAAAGTTAGCAGAATGGAGACCGGAACCATTAGTACCTGAAGTAGATCCTAATCATCCATCTCTTCATCCTTTAATAGTTAACTCTAGAAGTGGTAAAGAGATATTAATTAACGGCAAGAAATGCCTTAATTTGGTAAGTCACAATTATTTAGGCCTAACGGAAAGTAAGGAAATAGAAACAGTTGCAATTAGGACTGTAAGAAAATATGGAATTGGATCCTGTGGTCCACGTGGTTTTTATGGTACTGTTGATGTTCATCTTGAATTGGAAGAAAGATTAGCTAAATTTACAGAAACCGAAGAAGCTATAGTATTTTCTTATGCATTCAGTACTATTTCTACTGCCATACCTGCGTATTGTAAAAAGGATGATCTAGTGTTCGTAGATAATAAAATAAATTATGCCATACAAAAAGGATTAGATGCTTCTAGGTCAACGACTAAATATTTTAAACATAATGATGTTCAACATCTACACGAGCTGCTGTTAGAACAAGATAAGAAGGATAAACAAAATCCTAAAAAAGCTGCTAAAATCAAACGCTTCTTAATTGTAGAAGGAATTTATGCATACACGGGACAAATTTGTCCTTTACCTGAGTTAATCGTATTATGTAAGAAATACAAATTAAGAATATTCATTGATGAATCTATATCGATTGGAACTCTTGGAGCTCATGGAAAAGGAGTCGCAGAACATTTTGGTGTTCCTAGGCAAGACATCGACATGATTATGGGTAAGCATAATCTGTCCACTATTTTAAATGATTATTTTCATATACATTCTATACATTGAATATTTTGTATTGTTGGTTTTGTAGGATCCTTTGAAACAGCTATGGGATCTATTGGTGGATTTTGCGTTGGTACTTCTTTTATTATAGAACATCAACGTTTAGGTGCTCTTGGATATTGCTTTTCGGCATCATTAGCACCACTTTTAACAACGGCAGCTATTACTGCTATAAATATTATGGAAAAAAGTCCGTTTATGTTTAAATGCTTGAAAGATAAATGTATAGCTGTGGATAATGCTCTTAAAGAAGTGCCATATATTGAAACCTCAAGCTTTGCGGAGTCTCCTTTAAAACATTTATATTTGAAAGAAAAGAGAAATTACTTGGAAGAAAGCAAAATTCTTAATTCTATTTCTAAAAGGTGCATTGAAAATAATTTAGCTATAATAAGTCCAATTTATCTGGAAACTGAATACGAACAACCAAGACCTAGTTTGCGTCTATGTGTCTCTGTATCATTAGAGGACGATGATATCAATTTCGCGATCTCTACATTAAAGAAATGTGTTGAAGACATTTTAAAATAATAAGAAACGTAACATACTTATAAAAAGAGAAAAATAGATAATAATTTGAAAACAATATTTACATTTAGAAAAAAAAAATATATAAATCATTATATATATACAAACATATATTCATTATAAATAGAATTAAATATAATGTATAGTTTAAATATAATTAAAAAGCTTATAATTAAGTATTATATCATTCTAACCTCACAATGTCTTGTTTAAAAATAAAATGATTAATTCACAATAACAAATTGAATGACAATTTATATCCGCTACTGAGCGGAAATGACTGCGCAGGTGCGCGCGCATAGTTACATAGGTGGCGCTTTTAGAACATTATTCGGAAATCAGCGTGATTCTCATTCTTTCCGCGTTCGGTGCTTTCGGAGGTACGTTGCATACATATTTTTTTATTGTTACATCTTAATTGTTTAACAAAGTTTCAAATTTTGTCATTGTCCGATTGTTAATAATTAATTATATCAAATATCTTTTTTAGTTTGAAGTACACATTTAAGCCGCAAAAATGGTTGCTCAAAGAAAGCAGGTATATATTTTTTAACAACCACGTGTTCACGTTTTTGTCTTATTATTATTCCTTTTAATCATATAATTTATTAATGAATTTATCTTGTGAAATTTTTTCTGTTAACATTTTTTTTTTATAACATACTCTTCTAATATTTGTAATAATTTTGTGATAGTATACAAATTATATGATATTATGGAACAGTTTGTGTAGCTCTATGCTAAAAGAAATTAGGTTAAAAGACTTAATTTTTATTCGACTTAAAATGATACTAAGTATTTAGTAAATGAAAACAAGGAAAAGTATTTTTTTTTAACATAAATATATTACTTGTTTTAACAGAAAAAGGACAAAGATAGTATTAACAATACGCTTGCCCTTGTTATGAAATCAGGCAAGTACGTATTGGGATACAAGCAAACTCTGAAATCTCTTCGACAAGGCAAAGCTAAGCTCGTGATAATTGCAAACAATACCCCTCCTTTAAGGTGAGACTGAGATGTAGTACTCCTTTTAAAAAAGAAAAAAAAATAACCAACGATCTGAAAGTTACAAATCTACCTTTTCATTTATTTTATTTCAAAATATTTATAGATGAAAGAGAGAGCAAGCTATTTATAAAATTTGTCTATATATTATTATATTAATAATAAAATATGAATGTTTTTTTTGTAACTTTCTTGTCTGGTTATATAGAAAATAATGAAGGAGAACTACGGAGTAGTCTCTCGTCCCTGTTTGTAAGTACAGAGGACAATTAAAATGAAATAAATTCTGTAAAATAATAATCATTTCTATCATTAGGAAATCTGAGATCGAGTACTACGCTATGCTAGCGAAGACAGGTGTACATCATTACACTGGAAATAACATTGAATTGGGAACGGCATGTGGAAAGTATTTCCGTGTTTGTACCCTTTCGATAACAGATCCTGGAAATTCTGATATTATTAAAGCTGTACCTACTGGTGATCATGCATAAAAAATAAATTTTGTTTATTAAAATGAAAATACTTATTATATTAAATCTATTCTCTTTAATACATTCTCTACTACACCGCGTAGATGAAATTTTAATGAAAATCAATGCGTCACAGATATTTACTAGTATAAAAGATTTAGTATTCAGTCTAGGATAATATCAAACAATGAATTATTCAAATAGTAGAACATTTTATTTTACTTAATAACAAAATATAAAGTGATATATTAAATAGAAAAATAATTTATTTATTTTACTTTTTTTACTGCAACCTTTGTACCCAATATTTTCTTTCTCTGTGAAAGCATGTGAAAATATAATATAAACGAACCTACAATTAAAAAAAACATTTAATAATATAAGAACAAAGTAATTAAAATTATAATATTAATGCTTACCTGGAATATATAATAAAACAAGAGATATCAAAAAGTACAAATAACTAAATGTAAAGTTCCATGGATTAGGTAATGCATAACTCCATAATTCTGGATGAGACATGGAATAAACAATTGCGTAATAAATACACCAAAGTTCTCCGCTTATACCAGTTGGGTAAAGTACCAAAAATGTAGAATATCTATAAAGACACAAATTATGTTACATAATTGTTAAAAATTCATAATTCAATAAAATTAAATAAATATAAAATGTATTACCTCAACCATGTTAGAAACTTTGGCACAAATGAAAGAATGTTCAATAGATAGTACAAATATCTAAGAATTTCTGTAATGCTCCAAGATAAAACAGTGTACGGTAAACAAAGTGATGATCCAACGAAATCCCATGGCAATGAGAATAACACCAAGATAAGAACTAAACGACTTGAAACTTGTGCGAATGTTACATATAAATTTGATTTAACTAAACCTATCATAGAATGTATTATCTAAATGAAAAATGAAATGTTTCTATTAATCAATCAAATATATATTTATAAATAATTAGATAATATTTATTAAATATAGGATTAATTTTCTTGTTTATTTGAATACCTCTAAATAAGCAGAATATTGAATAACAGTTAAAGGAAGCCAAATTTTATCCCAAAGACTTAACGTTGACGTATTATCCCCATAATGGGATACCAATATATAGAATACCAAAGACCAACTGTGAATTAAATAAAATTTACTTGTACTATTCGTATTAAAATTTTGTTAGAGAGAGAAACATATAAATAGATTATATTAAATAATATTAATTAATGTGAAACTATATGTATATTAATATAAAATACCATTCAAAAATCGAATGATTTTTCAGTAGATAAAATAACACTATAAGCATGTAAACCTAACCAATATATATTTTTTCTATATTTATAGAATTTTTATTTTTCATTATACGAATATTTTTAAACAATTCGATGCAATTTTAAATAATACAATTAAAAAAAACTACTTACCCGATAACTTCTATCGCATTATAAGCGACCAGATATAATTTTTTAAAAGATAACATGACTCGATAATTCTTACTTCTTCGGAGTCCGTTCGTGAACTAAAGTTCATCACTTTAAATAAGCATACATAAAGATTCACATACGTATTTATAATTGCATATATAAGAACAGTGACTGTCTATATATGATGTTTATTTAATATTTTAGTTGGCAAATTGCAAGTTTACGTATTGATAAAAAATATATTGAATTATTACAAAATAACAAAACAATTACTTTCTTTTTTTTTTATGTAATATCTTTTGTCTTTTTGTTAGAATTAATAATTGAAATGAAAAAAAGAAAAAAAGAAAAGAAAAAATGTCCTTCTCGTTCAATATTTATTTGACTACGAAAACAATATTACATATGAAAATGGATGTGTGTGCCGTCACTGCTATAGTGGCTTTTCAAACAACGTGTGATAATGTTAAATCTATGAGGCAAGAAAGAAACCATAGTTTTGCATAAAAAATTAACGTGAACTTGTTTTTGGAATATTAAACGTTATTAGAAAAATTAATTTTATTATTTCATATATATATTTGCAAGAGAGTAAATATATGCATATTACATCACACGCATATATGTATTCTTAATCGGAATTTTTTTTTATTCGTGTTAAAGAAAAATTCAAATGAATATAAAATATTGTTTATAAAACATTTTTTTTTTTTTTTTTTTTTTTTTTTTTTTTTTGAATAAAATACTTAACAATTAATCAATCGTTTTATTATATATATATATATTTATATTTTTCTTATAATTTGATTTTTTAATTTGCATTGATAATTGTAAGAATTACATCGTGTGTGAACATGATTTAGTAATAAAAGGAAAAAATAACATTCAAACATTTGCATTACTGGGTCATCAAAAATATTGTCGCATTTTGCAATATTATTAAACGTTCGTTTATTCTTAATGAATATTTAAAATATTTGCAATCTTTTGTGCATTTCTGTATACATAGGTGGATTTTAGCCTTATTTTATTTCAAAATAAAGATATTAATCGAAGATTACGTTATTATTAAATTTGTACAAAAATTTTCTTTTGTTTCTTTTTTTATTAGACGATGCATATTCATATTTTCAATAATACACATGTACATATATATATATATATATATATATATAGATAAGTATTTATATACATGAAACATTGATTTAAAATACTTATAAATATTATTATTAATTTCTTATTAATCACTTTGTCTGTATTATATCTTTTTTCTATACACATTTATTGAAATATAATATTAATCGTTATGGATAAAAAAAAAAAAGAAGAAACAAAAAAAATATATCAACTTTTTGTCTTTTTCATGTTTATCATTGCAGTTAAGTTCAATAGTGTCAATTACAAGTGTTCCTTGAATTAATACGTTCGTCATGCGTCTTATATATTCTATTAAATTTTGGAAAAAGTTGAGAAATATTGATTCACCTTCTCGATCAATCAGCAATCAATGGAAACATATTATTTATGGGAAGGATGTTATTGATGGGAAAAATAATTCCCAACCGATAGTTGCATTGGAATCCACGATTATAACCCATGGGATGCCTTTTCCTGAAAACTTTAAAACTGCGCTCAAAGTTGAAGATGCTGTGAAAAAACAAGTATGTGTGTGGTCGTATATATATATATATATATATTTATTTTTTATTTTGTTTCTTTTCTTTTAATTATATCACACGCGACATCTATAAAATATAATCGAATTCTTTGTGTAAGATATTATAAATATTAATATTTAGATTTTTGTAATTAGGGTTCAATGATACATTGTCATGCTTTGATTGAAATTACTTTCTATATAGGGGGAATGATTTATTTAATAAATGTTTGTTACTTTAATTTTTAATTTTTCTTTTAGGGAGCAGTACCTGCAACGATAGGAATTATTGATGGAATTATACACGTTGGTCTTGATCGTGAACAATTAAAAGTATTGTCTAAAACTAATTCTAGAAATACAGTTAAATGTTCTGCCAGGGATCTATCTTCTGTCGTATCACAAAAGTTGAACGGAGGGACTACAGTAAGCGCTACAATGTTAATAGCAAATTTAGCAGGCATACCGATTATGGCCACAGGTGGTATAGGCGGTGTTCACAGAGAAGCAGAAACTACCTTCGATATAAGTACAGATTTAATTGAACTTGGTCGTACACCCATTGCCGTTGTTTGTTCCGGTGTTAAATCTATTTTGGATATTGGTAAAACGTTAGAATATCTAGTTAGTGTTTTTAAATATGTATTTATATATATTTATGAACAATTATTTGTTTACTCTTTGTCAGTCGATTAAAATATTATTTTCTCGTTTTGCTAGGAAACTCAAGGAGTACCTGTTGTAAATATTGGCCATACTTATAATTTCCCAGCTTTCTATTGTGCTGAAACATATGATCAATTAAAAGCTCCGTTTAAAGTAAAAGATTCTAAAGATGCAGCAGATCTTATAAGAATACAGAGAGAATTAAATCTTTCTACAGGCATATTATTAGCTGTTTCTGTTCCTAAAGAGCATGCATTGAATCCTAATGAAGTAGAAATAGAAATAAGTAAAGCATTAGAAAAGGCTAAACGTATGCATATCAAAGGAAAAAACGTTACACCATTATTATTGAAAGAACTTAATGAAATGACAAGTGGCAAGTTTCTTAAGACTAGTAAGTATATATATGATAGAATGTAACTTAACAATAATTATAAGATTGTGCAATGTAATATAATATTGCGTCGTAAAGATTTCATTGAAGATTTACAATTGCAGATATTGCACTTATAGAAAACAATGCTAAAGTTGCAGCAGAAATAGCAAAATACCTTTGTGAAGGAACTCAAGCTTCTACCTTATCTCAACATTCCAAACACTTACCAGCATTTAAAAGAAGTCCTGTAAGTTTTAAACATACACTTACATCGTTACATCATATCACTCATATTTATGTCTAATTTTTTGTTGTATATCTAATATATACCATAAAATGAATAAGTACTTATTTTGTACAAATACACGAATACAGCACGAATTGTTGTTATTCCTAATAATTATAGGATCGTTATTTTTTGTTTTCCAATACAGGTAGTAGTAGGTGCTGCAATTCTGGATACCATTTTGCAAGTGGAGGATTCTGAGATAAAAGTAAGTTAAATTTCGTAGTCATAATTATACTAAATAACCAATTTTCCTTGTATTCATATTTCATGGTAATCATAGAATGTGTAACAGTATTTACATACAATTACGGCCACATATGTTTTATGTACACTTAAGGGTGTCGAATAACATGAACTCATAGTACAGTATGGGGAAGAGTGGTTTCTGCTGGTAGAACCCATGGAAGAAAGCAAAATAATTAATTAAATCATTTTTCTTCAACGCATGAATGCGTCTTTATGTTGTTTACGCATGTATGTGTGTCTTGTCGATTCGCATAATATTAATTTATAAAATTTTCATTACACAATAGTTTTGACTTAAGGTAAAAACTTATTTTCAAGTAAGTTAAAGCTAATGTATCTTTAAATAAATTTAAATATGATATTTGTAATATATTAATATGATACGATGCTTTTTGTATTACTATACATAAATAAAATTAACGGCTATATATTTATTTATTTCGTTGTGCATTGTTATGTGTGACTTAAAAACAACAAACTTATTGCATAAATGACACTTTTTCCCATACTTTGCTACGATAGCCCTCTATTTAATCTGTCGGTTATTTCGTAATGTGAATACCATATCTAACTGTATCAGATATAGTAAACTGGATTATAAGCAGGCACTATTCAAAGCTCCCTTTCTTAGACTCACCTCAATTTATACATATTATATTACCTTTTAAATATCAATCAGTTTTATAAATCGCTAAGTATTTTTACTTTAAAGCCTTCTTTACGACAGGACTGTATATTCTGTTAGGATTTATTGGCCGAGTTAGATTTGAGTGTACAAATCATTTTTTCTTTCTTTCTTTTTTTTTTTCTTTTCTTTTTGTTTTTTTTGTTTTTTTTTTTTTTTTTACGAATAATCAGAGTACATGGTAGCTAAGTCAGTTAACATTAAAGTTCTACTCGGCCAAAAGTTTATAATGTAAAAGCAGTTACGTAGTACATACTTCTTCTATAATCAATGATCAGCGTGGTTTCTTTTCACCTCTGGGCGGCTTAGTATAGTAACACACTTGCTGCCTTCTCTTCTAAATAATTAATTAAAAATCATTTAGTGTCTATTTTTTTTCTCTTTTTTTTTTTTTTTTCCATTTTCTTTTCACGTATATAATATCCTTACAATACAATCATTGGCAGAGGCTGCGTGTCTGCGAGGTGTAAGCTTTGAGACATTGTTTAATAGTTTATTACATTCAACGATTATTCGATAGCCTGATTAAGAAAGAACCCTTAAGAGTTTCTATTTCTTTTTTTTCTTTTTTCTTTTTTTCTTTTTTTCTTTTCTTTTCTGTGAGAAGCGTCTTCGAAACAATATTCTAATAAATGTCACATCCAAGGAAAACCAAAGGTATTACAAAGTTTTTCAGTAACAAATATTTATCGCACATAATATAATATGATACTATAATTTACTATAATGATTTTCTAATAATCGATTGCTGACGTTCGTCATTTTGATATAATACCCTGTTTTCCACGCCACCGTTGTGATTACACACAAATATAAAATAATGATTTTTATCTCGAAGAAGAATAAGAAGAAGAATAATAATAAGAACAAGAAGAAGAACGATGAAAATTTTGAGAATTCATTTAATAGAAAACGATTCGAGATCCTTTTTCCAAAAAAATGATTCCCCTAGGACCCTTCTACATTCGTGAGATAATTCATGTGATATTTACGTTTTTATGAATGTGGTCATCCGGTTTATTTTTTTTTTTTTTTCTTTTTTGCCCTTACTTTTCTTGGTTGTTTTTTTTTCTTTTTTTCGTTTTCTCTTTTTTTTCTTTTTCCCCCCC